AATTTTCATTAATACACAACGAGATTGCCACTTTTCACAAGGACTAAGAATAGAATTAATTTGTGAAAGAGCAAGGATGTGTCAATCAAACCCACCAAAAAATTTGAAATTTTAATATCTTTCATATGAAATAAGATTCATAATTAATTTTTGTGTTAAATGCTATCAAAATATATAAGTCGTAATATTATAGAGAAAATAACTTCATAACTGTGTCTAAGTACCTTTAAAAGATATAACAAGTCTTTATCGGTATATGTTTTGTGCATAAAGGCTCGCAAAATAATTTGATATACAGCAATCCAAATACAGCTTGATAGATGCCTGTAACAACTGTTTTCCATTTTGAGGAGGAGGGGGGCTCCAAAAATTTGAAAATATGCGTACTACAGAGCTATCCTACCATCAGATATATTTTCCAATGATAGATTTCTTCCGTATATAAATCAAGAACAGATGTTAAGTTCCAACTGATGTAGGTTGCATGTAGCAAATTAGCCAGATTTTTTTTTTGAAATTAGAAAAGTGTACTGGCTAATCGGCGATGAAAGAACTACGTACTCTAACTCTGGATTCTCGCCTACATTTTGCATTCATTGAATTCAATTTTAATGGCAATTTGGCCGTTAAATCTTTGTTTAATACAAAGAACAGTTCTATGGTAATTGATTAATCATTTTAATTCCAGCGCTAGATAGTAAATTATCATTAATTTCAGCTCTCTAAAAAGGGGGGTAAACGCTATTTTCTAGCGAAATCGAACTTTCAAGAATCACCATATTTTGAAATAGTCTTAAATATGATAAAATGTATCTCATATCTTCTCTAATGTCTTACGCAAATAAATGAAACATATATAAATTAATAAAATACAATTATTTAGTTGTAAATAGCTTTAGAATTGGTGAAAAATCCGCATTTTTTCATTTATTGTCTATAAACATATGTCCCCCCCGTGAAACACAAAAAGCTTTGGCACAAATTTGTAAAATGACAGTCCATATTACCTGTAAAAAGGATTTTTTGTTTCACGGGGGGGGGGGGAGATGTTTTAAAAATATTTTCCGTTTTCCATCGATTTCCATAGTGAAAAACTCAAGTTTTACCAAAATTATAGAGTTATTCAAAAAAAGTAACGTTTTATGAAAATTCATATAAATATCTATAAAAATTATGAAAATCATTCGAATATGTTTACTTTTGAGAATTGACTTAGAGGTAGGCGGGAGAACAATACTATCGTTCGTGGTTCTTAAATAATTTTGCTATGAATGTACTATCAGTCAAAGTAGGCAGATCATTGTCCAAATGTGATGAATATTCACTAAATGAAATGGTATATGTGTTAAAATGGGAGACTGCGGGGAAGGGGATTAAAAGAACAAATAAAGGGAAATATTTCATATCTTCTTCTCAGGAGCTACATGTAGTTATACTGATATAGAAGTAACCTAACTTATTGTACATAGATTCAGGTTTATGAAACGTGGGGGTAAGGTGGGATCATACTGGGAAATCAAATCTTTACTAAGAAATTTATGGGAAAATATCTTAAAGATGTTCTCTGAATAATAGCAAATGCCTTATTGATCATATTGATGTAGAGAGAATATTTAGGTAGTGTAGTTTCAAGTTTTCCCAAATCAGGACATTTGTGAGTAAGATGGGACCACAGAGGAATCAAAGTTTTATATATAGGGATATATAGGAAATGAAATGTGGAAATTGCGAAGAATATTTAAGCTCAAACTCAATTTGAACATAACAAATGGACCACACAAAACATTAGAGTTGGGATCATATGCCATGAGTAAGCAAAAAAGTATTTGAAAATTTTCATAAGAACATGAAAGCAATGATTATTTATATTGTTATGGAAGTATCTCTAGGTATTGCAGATTCAAATATGATCAAATCATGACCCCTAGGGATAAAGGTTTGGTCACAACAGGAAACCAAGGTCATCCATAGAATTTTTTTTCTCATTATAAACAAACAGATAACTGAACACATTTACTTTATGCCATACACACACACTCACCCTTTCGCACTATCCACTATCCATCTATGGATAATATTAATAGAGAGAAAAAAGGATAATACATGTAAATTCAATTTGTCACTTTTTCCTCCAACACCTTATAATATTATGTATAAATTATCCGAACTGTTAAATACATATTCATTTATCCACAATATGATCATGTATTGAGGATAAAATAGAGATAAAAAAGAATAAAAGACATTAACAATAGTAAATGAAATTTGAACTGTCACTCATCAAAAACAGGTTTCCATGTACACCATATGGAATTAAAATATACAATTTTATTCTTTTGGATTGAAAATTTTTTTCAACGTTATATTTGATTCTTAGATGACATAAGAGTGCACTAAAATTTTGCATTTTCTTCTGCATCAAACAAGTAAAGATATATTGTTTAGTGTATATTATAATAAAATTTACAATTCTATTATTTTTTGACAAAGGAATCTCTTAATATTACATTATTAATGTTAAATCCGATCCTTTTTGAAGTAGTTCTATATATATATGTCGGCTAAGACTACTCCACAATGGCAAAATATTATTACAAAATAAAAATACATGTTGAATTGTTTCTCTTTCATTCTTGCAAAAGGTGCAAAAATCAGTAGTTTTAATATCAATCTTTTTAAGATAGCAACCTACGGGAAGAATCCTATGCAGTATCCTAAACTGCAGCCATTGAACAGCTGTATCACTTGTTAATTTAAAACAAACTTTAAAAACATCATGTATTTCAAAATTACACTGCCCATAGATACTCAAAATGGAAATCCATTTTGATGTAGATGTAGGTTTAACATTATTTGTGTTTGAAATAGAGTAAATTGGCTTAGTGCATTTTTCTGACTGTAACAACAATTCATAATAAAAGGGCATAAGTGTATTGTAAGATTTTGTGGATAAGGATTTGTCAATAGACATACATTTCAAATATTTTGATAGTGCAGTAAGAACACTATTATATTGCATAATCTGCTTATTTATATCTGTTTGTGAGAGGCAAAATCTTTTTTGTAAAGAATCAAAGCATAAAAAATATCCTTCACTATCTAAAAAATCTCCTTTCTCATACCAATTTTTGATAAATACAGACCGTTTGCCAACCAAGATATTAGAATTGTACCACACCGGGATAATTGAAAAATTAATTTTTACGTTTTTACAATCATTTAAACACTTCATGACTTCAAGCCATGATTTTAATACATCTTGCCAGAAAGCATTGTTTTTAGGAAGTAAATGTTCTGAAATAAACAGATTACCAAAACGAAATAACTTCTCAATAACATCTTTTCCATTCAATGCCAAAAAAAAAAATCCATCCATGGCTTTTGTTTTTGAGTTAACCTTTTCATCCAAGAATATTTTAAAGCAATTATAAAATTATCTACATCGACCATTTTTAAACCCCCAGAAAGATAGTCTTGTGTGACAAGGGATCGCTTTATCTTTAACCGATTTGGACTTCCATATAAATTCAAAAATATCTTTTTGCAGATCAACAAGAAACTGTTTTCTAGGAGATGGCAAAGAAATAAATAAATGATTAAGCTTAGGTAGGATAAGAGTCTTAACAACAATTATGCGTCCAATTGGAGTTAGAATTCTTTGTTTCCATTGTTTAATCAAATCTCTTATTTTAGGTAGTTGTGAATCATAATTAATATCAACAATTTCTTTCAGTCAAAGATTGATAACGTTTCAAATTTTCTTTTAGGGTCCTGAGTTCTTTTGCTTGCTCGTGAAACTTTTCTCTGATTGTTTCAAACTCTAAATTAAACCCCTCTGAGATATCTTTGGTCTGATCTTGAAACTCCTTTGTTTTTCTATCTTTTCCCCGAATTCTTTCTTTACCTGCTCCGTCACGCTCTGCTTAACTTCAGGTATGAGTGTCTCTTTGACTTCATCGAGGATTTCTTTTTTTAGTTCACCCTTTTATTTGGTCACGATTGAAGTGACTATTTCTTTTACATTGTCTTTACTGACCATTATTCGCCTTATATCCGATGTGCCTTCTTGTAAAAGACTGAGCTCATTCAATGCACTATTGGCACCACCGGTTGACTCGTATTCAGATCTGCTACTTCTTTGTTTTTTTTTGTGGCATTTTTTCCCGACACTACCGTATTTTTAATTGAAGCAGGAATTGACTGGAGGTTCAATTGCATCACTTCGTGATCGGGAGGCCCGGGTTCGATTCTCGATCGCGGCGCCGTGTCATACCTAAGACGTAAACATAGGTAGTGACTGTTCCTTCGCCAAGCGCTCGGCACTAGAAGTGAAAGTCACGGGTCTTTCGGATATGACCTTAAAAACGTAGGTCCCGTGTCACGGTAGGCGTTGGCACGATAAAGAACCCTCACTGCTCAATGGCCCTGAGTGCCGAGTATAGGTCTAAATTTGAAGCCCTTCACCGGCATCGGTGACGTCTCCATATGAGTGAAAAATTCTCAAGAGGGACGTTAAACAATATACAATCAATCAATCAATTGCATCAATTTTCTGTCTGGTGTATTCTTCTCACCCATTTTAATCGGCTCCAACACTCTCTGATTTTTTACCATCTTTCTGCGTTGTGAGCGGCATTGTGAGTAGCTACTCACGGTACATATGGTGCAGGGAGAAAACCACCGTGTCTTCACAAAAAAAGTTTACAAATCACAATTATAGTTACTTGTAGTTGTTTTTAACAAGATGGACAGTTTTTAACTGTTTGAAAGATCTCATACGAAGATTGAAATGACGAATTTAAGAGACTAACAGCGGAGCTGGAAAAAGACACTTACGCTCGGCTCATCACGTGGCCGGAAGAAAAATTAATGAAAAGAAATCTGGTCAAGACATTAGGGTCTATTGTGATTCATGAGCATTTATATAATTTTTAAATCTTAAATTAGAACGAAATATCTTGTCTACTTTAAATTAATTGTTGTTTATATTTGTTTTTCAGATTATCTTGAATTCTGGATGAAGTCAGTTCATCAGTACAGCAGTGAGAAAGCCCCCGTTATCCTGGTTGGTACCCACAGTGAGGGGAAAACAGAAAAAGTACTCATACATTTTTTCCTTCAGTTAATAAAAGATATATATTTCTTTAATTAAAATATTAGCCACCTTACATGTATTAGATAATCTGATCTGAAGAAAGTAAAGGAAATAAAAGTACTCAGAAGTACAGAGAGCCAGGCTCATTTACAGAGTAGAATGACTTTCTTTCATGAAATGTAAAGGAAAAATGTTTCAAAATGTTCTTCATAGGATAAGAAGGGCCATGATCTGTTTTATCAATATGCAAATATTTTGACTCAATGCAGAAATAAGATCATTAATTTCTCAAGATAAATGAATGCAGTGAAAACATATTTCTTTAAGATATTCTTTTTTTCAGGAGAAAACATTGTTTTTCCGAGAAGTATGGAAAACTTTAGAAATGCATAAATCTCTGAAAGAACATCTCAATGTAAAGCGGCAATTTGTGATTGGATTCAACGACAACGAAGGCATCGAGAGTATCAAGAAATCAATCCTTGATGTTGTAGGTAAACTTGATCACTGGGGTGAAGAGCTTCCTCGCTCATGGGCTATGTTTGAAACATTCTTTCAGGAGAAGAAAAAACTCAAGATTTTAAAGATAGACGCACTCATTGCTTTCAATGAAGCATTGCCAGAGGGGATAAAGCTCCAAAAAATAGATGATATCAATGTTATGCTGCAGTTCTTCCATGACATCAGAGAAATTTTATACTTTGTTCAAGAATATCTCCAAGAGAAATTATTCTTGATGTTCAGTGGTTTGCAGATGCATTCAAAAATGTAATTACTGACGAAAATCACGCAGAGGAGGATCTGATCGAGTGTGCAGTAGAGTTTGCCAAATTCAATGAAACTGGAGAATTAGATGATAATCTGCTTTGTGCTATATGGGAAATGTACAACAATGGTTACATTGAACATAAAAAGGAGGTCATGCTGTACATGGAGAAGTTAGGACTCTTAGCTAAAATGAGTGACAATAAGTGGTATGTCCCCTGTATGAACAAAATACCATTTCCTTTGAAATACTCATCATACCCTGCCTCCTCCATCCTCTGCTACATATTTGATGTTCTTCCTGCTGGAATTTTCCATCGCCTTGTAGCTACATGCATGCAGATTCCCTGGAAGATCCTTACAGAGAGAAACAGACCATGCATTTACCAGACCGCAGCTATTTTCACAGTTCAGGGTCACAACGTTCTTCTTGGAATGACTCCAAATGAAATTCAGCTGCAAGTGTTTGTTATTGAAGGAGAAGTTGAGCTATCAACATGCCACGAAGTGAAGAAAAAGATTGACAGTTTACTAAGTATTCTATCCACAACATTCCAAACAGACTTTAAGTTCATGTTTGGATTCAAATGCAAAGCTGTGGGATTTTGCGACAACCAAGAAAGCTCTGTAATTGATGAAGCAGAATTTAGTCAACCATCTTTTCTGTGTCCTTCCTGTCCAATAGAAAGCAAGCATATCATCAAAGCAAATGATATCACAATGTTTTGGATAGAGGTATGATACAGTATTTAAATTATTTAAGTAAAAAAGACTGATTTTGCTCCTTAAAAGTACACATATGTGTATTTTTAAATTTGAACTTCCTTTTTCTGTTAAAGGTGCTGCAGTTGTTTTCCGGGTCAAAGTCTTATGTTTTGTGTTTTGAAAATCTGTACTTTTGTTTAACTTCTACGAGCCCAAATAATCTTATTTCAGTCAAATATAAAATTCACTAAAGGGTAGGGAATTTTTTAATTTTAGATGCAGCATAAGCTTCTTAGATGGAGTCATTTGAGATTATTTTTAAAAGAATATAGCTCATTTTGACCATGTTTACACATGTATGCTATCTTTCTTAGTAGCTATGATTAAATTTAACCTCCTTTGAGCCTTTGACAAACAGACAGTTTTACACCCATTTGGAATAGTTGTGCATCATGAAGGTTTAGTTTAAAGTATAATGATCTCTTAAAGTTCATTTTATTTCCATTAAAATACAGTTGACAAGATTTAAGCCAAGTAAATAACCCATAGTATGAACATGATAAATTCCATATAATTAACAAGTCTTTAATGCGAAGAAGTTTTTTTTGGAGGGGGGGGGGGGCTATCTGAAATTTTTTTACTACCTAAAATAATACAATCATGGTTTACATTTCTAACAGGTAGTTGAAGAAGACCATTTATTATTTAGAAAGTATTTCCAAATTTTATGAAAACAGCTGATATTTCATACTTTTAATATATTAAAAATTTCTTAATTAAATTACTCTTGGGTCAATTGCTTATCTTTTAAGTTGTACCCTTAGTCTCGTCTTTTTATTATTTCTACTTGATCAAATTAACTAAATGAAGTTGAATATTGTTTCAGCCAAAAACAAAGACTTCAGTCTCTGCAGTGGCTTCTGGACAAGATCTCGGAGGCCGATCTAGATTTGCCAAACTTGGAATGGCATCAAACGATGTGTTAAATCAGGCATATAGAGATATACTAGAGATGGAGGTCCCCCCTTCCGTTATTTACAACAAGGTGAAAGCATCATCAATTTATAAAAGATTTCGCCCCGAGCAAGAACATCTTTTACAAAATGCTCAACTATTAGGGTATAAGAATTTTGATATCTCATTAACATACACATTGGTAAGACGCATTTGTAAAAAGATTCCTAAACAGACAAAAGGAAAATGGGGAGAAGAACCTGCAGCAGGAGAAGTGACCGTGGGTGATGATATCGAGAGAATTAGATCAATCCGAAACGGTTTGACTGCACACGTTAGCTCAGCTTCAACCCCTCAGACAGAATTCGATGACACCTGGTTAATGATGTCAGATATCTGCAAAAGGCTTGAAACCTTCACTGGAAAGAAGTACTTGGATAAATTTAAATACATCCAAAAACTGACACTGAAAGAGGAAGATGAAGATGATATTATAGAAAAGGTTAAAAGGAAGTCGCATGAAATGATGAAGACAATCATGAAGGATTTAGAAATTACAGAATTCTTTGAAAAT